AAAAACGAAAGGTTTCCATGTTCAACAGTGAGTACTTCGAGAACCGGATGAAAAATCTTCTCGACGTGTTGGACGTGCATAACACCAAAAACATGATCGTAATGCTGGGCAACGCGAAGTATCGCTACCGGCTGCCTACTGGAGCCCCAAAAGACACGTCGAAAAAGACCGAAATGCTGATCAAATGCAAAGAGTGGGGCATTAGCGCTGACAAGAAGGAGCTAAAAAAGGCTATTTGGGCAAAACTAAAGAAGTATGTGCGGACGAAGATCAACCCTGAAATCGTTGTGGTGGCTGAAAACCGAGGTCACACCGTCATGTACACCCCACCACTCCAATTCGCAGCTCATTGAGACTGTGTGGGCCATCGTGAAAGGCGAAGTAGGCCGTCTGTATTCCTCGGAAACATCATTCGCTGAGGTTAACGCTCGGTTAGCAGCGGCGTTTGACAATCTTAAGCCGTCCACCGTGCAAGGGTGCATTCGTAAGGCTGACCATACGCTAGAAGACATTTACAAGGTTGTAATTCAAGCGGAGGATAACGACGAAGATAGTGATGGAAGTGCCGAGTCCGACATAGATAGTAGTTAAATTGTAGCTCTGATGCTGAGGAGGACTAAATGACTAATGACGCCGGTTTTTGTGCGCATCATACTGTGTTTGTGCTGCTTCTTCATATTTTTTTGTTTTGAATAAGAGAATCCTGGTTAAAACAGAAATCTGCCTGAATAAGGAGCGGGGTTTCAACTAATAACCTCGTAATATTTATAGTCGTGAAAGATTTAGGGATATGGGATAGTGAGTGGCAAGGACTGACAAAACAATCTAGGGACTGACTTCGATTTCAATTTAAAGAATGGCGCACAGTAGGTGATCCTCCTTCGCTTCAAGCCCTACGAGCCGAACTTCATTCCTACATTTACATTCAAGCTCACTAGCCGACTGCGTCCTCAGCACCCCCATGTCCTCCAATCGTCTCCGCCTCACCTGGTCCGAGAAGGTAGCCATCCTCGAGAAGACTGCTCGCTCACCTAGTCTGTCGTATAATGAGCTAGCTAGTGGACGGTTGAAGAGTTTGGGCCTCCAACGGCCCCTGGCAAAACGACAATGTGCCGTATACTTAAATCAAGTGCTGTGCTGCGCGGACGGCCTGTGGAGAAGGTTGTACGGAAGAAGGAGCAGAGGTTGGTCTCTCTCTAAGCAACGTCCGTGTTGAGGAAATCATCAATAGCATTTAACGCTACATCTTATCGCAAAAAATAATGCTCGCATTGGATCGCCTAGGCGAAGGCCTCGACAACCCGTACAGCTAACTGCACTGCTCTGGTGCGAGGCTGCATGGTCTGAAGTTAGCGCTGCCAGGATTCAGCACTGCTGGAATCACTCTGGTCTCATTCAAAAGTTGAATCTTCAATATATTCTAACTTAATTCAATACATGCGCATCATAGTCTGTTTTTAGCGAGGCATTGTCAGCTTTTGCAATCTCTTTCTTAATTTATATCAGGCGTTCCTTAATTACTTTTATCAGGACCCTTCTTTGGTGACCCATGAGATTTGTCAAAACCTCTCATGTATGATATCAAATCGTAATTAAAGATCATCATGGAGAATACTTCAAGTAACAGGGGGCCAAACTCAGTCAATTCAAT